TAGGTTTTAGAAATAAATCAGATAAAAGAAACCCAGCCCTGTCTATAATTCCAAGAACTGCATAAAGTTCATACTTTAGCCAATTAGTATTGAATATTGCATTAACAACTATTGCAGTAATTTGTTCTTAAGGAAAAATATTAAATAAAGGTGTTAAAAATGCAATAATTGTAGGTTGTTGAATAATTAATTTACAGGTAAAGTTTTGAGAAGGTTATTAAATTGTTGATTTTATTTGATCTTTAGATAGTTTATATTTATTAAGCCCTAACTGTCTATACTAGTAATAAATTTGTTGTTGCATAATATAAGCATATCCATTTAAACCTAAGGCTTTTATATTATTATAAATTTGAGGAATAGTTAAAAGATTATTTTGCTAAATATACTCTATAATTTCAAAAAAACTGCAATTGATTAAGGTCATGGATGTGTTAGATGGTGAATATGAATTTAAGCTAGCTTATAAGGCATTTAATTGTAATAAGAACTAATCCTTCACACTCATATCAAAATAATCAGGATTCAGCATTTCATCATTTACTAATATCTTTAATTCGAGGATTTTTAGATTTTTTTTCATACTTGCAGTTGCAATAAAAAAGAAATAAAAAACCATTTTTTAATTTAGCACATGAATGATAAATATATATAAATCCATTAGCTTTTTATTATTTGATAGACAATGAGTTTATTACTTTCATCTTTATTTGTTGTTTCAATATGATCAATAAAGGAATTAAGAAAGATGGCAATTTCTATATGTAACTCTTGCTTGCATAGTTCAGCATTGTCAAAATCTTTATAAGGATCCAAAAAATCTAATAAGATATCAACAAGTTGATCTTGAGTATATGCAAGGTCTTGATGTTGTTTTATTTCTTCATCATCTTTTTTTTTGCATTAATCCAATTCATATTGCTAACAGAGGTTCAGTAGTTGTTACATGATAATACAATTTTGTTATTTTTTCTGGTAAAGCTTTCTTTTCCATACCAACCCCTCAACGGTTGCACTTTTTCTTTTCATGATCAACATCCATCACGTTTAACAAGAAATGTAAAATAAAGGAAAGAGAAAGATCTTAGAACGACGGGGCTGGGTTTCTTTTATCGGATTTGTTTCTAAAACCTAATTAAAAAGAAAAATGCTTAGCAATTCTCTTAAATTAATTTTATTTGATTAAAGAACAAGGTATATATTATGTTAAAACCTTTTTAACTGACAAGAACTTTGCTTAAATTATATCAGCACAAGTTATTTGGCCTAATGCATAAATTTAATTGTTATTAGCATGTTTTCCAGGCTATTAAAAAAACTTTCTAGCTCTAGAATTGTATATTCAATATATAATGTAAATGAAGCATATAAAATTTGCTCAGAAATTGATCTAACTTGGCAACCAGTATTAAAAAATCAAAATATACTTGTTGATCTTTCTTCAAATAGTAATAAAATTAATAATACAATGACAGATAATAAGCATCAAATTTTTTGCAGAAAGGATCTTCCTGAATATATTATTCAGTTAATTCAAGTATTTTTTTTTGTACATCCTTTAATTCCAACTGAGACATGTTCTAAATTATACAATCTACAAGAAATTTGGAGTGAATGTATAAAAGAACAAAATAATTATTATAAAGTTAATAATTTTCTACATGTTTGGGCTTATATGTAGAATGAATAGTATTGACCTGAACAATAGAGATTATAAGCATGTTCAGCAACAGAGCATGTTAATGATTTATAATCTTTAATAATAGTTAAAAGTCATTGGAGAGCAATTAAGCATGACTATCTTTCAGAGTGCAATTGAGCATATTTGGATTTATTAACTTACATAATTGTAATACAAGTTATTTCTGGACAATTAGATTAGCTATAGCAATTATGAGATAGTAGAATTGTAACATGTTAGCATTCTGATTTTAAAAAAGAGTGAAATGGACTTAACAAAAAAATTATTAACTTTAATCCTCAACAAATTACTAACACAAAAAGATAGGTATGCTTGTATTTTAGTTTTTTGTTTAGCAGATTTTTTATTTGCATACATTTAGTTAAAGAGATAAATCCAATTCCTGTTAGTTTTTTTAAGAAGGTATATAGTATTTTATTTTTGTTAAATTTTAGATTAATATTTAATAATTTAAATATGTTTAGGTTCATCATCAGGAATTTTATCTGTTTTTGTGATTTAATGAACATAATAACAATAATCTCTTTAAAAATCTGCCAGAAAATCTTTTTCAAGTACTTTTAAATAATCCAGTAATTAAACAAGCTTTGAATACTTCTGAATTACTTCAAGATATTGTATTTCAAGATGATATATTATCTGTACTACACCAAGCAAAATATTTTTTCAAAATAATATGTTACAAGATGACATGTTGCCTCAAGATATTGTAATTGAAAATAAAAGTGTAAAATATAAAAAGAAAGAACTTTATTTATTACTTGATCATGTCAAGACTATTATTGACAAAGGGAAGATTAAAGATCACTGAACCCAGTGATCATCACTGTATCACATGACAATCACTCGGCCTAAGTTAGGGTTAGTTTAGGGTTAGGGTAGGAGTTAGTTTAGGCCAGTTTGTTTAGTTCTGGTACGTCATGATATGTTTATCATGTGATCGTCGATCACTGGGTTCAGTGATCTTTAAGTGTCCCACATTATTTAATATGATTTAACTTTGATTCTGTTGTTTAGGAATACTTACTACGTATTTTTAAAATAATGAATCATAATATATATTATACAGTCAAACCTCTCTATAATCACACACTTGGAATACAAAAATGAGTGATTGTAGAGAAGTGTGACAGTTTTAGAGGTCAAATTTATTATATTTAATAATAGTTTGTTTTTAAAAAAATATGCTTATATAGGAGGTGACTATAGAGAGGTCGGACTGTATATTCATTGTATTCTGGATTGGATATAATTTTCAAAATTATATATATATATGTATGGTGCATGCAATCTATAAATCTCAGTTTTACCTTATTAAGAAATATTAAAGATCATAGTGTGAAGCAGGGTGTGAATATTAAATGTGATTATAACACCCAAATTTATATATTGCATTGAATCAATTTCTTGATATATATAATTGTTATAATTTCAGTTTTATAAATCATAACAGGTAAAAATACTTGAATGTTCTTGGGCTTAACTATTTTTTTTTTATATATATTAATACTTTTATTTTTTTTTAAAAAAAAAATCAAATCTTTTTTTAAAAAAAAAAAAAACTCCCTCCCCCAAATCATTTTTTTTAAAAAAAAAAATCAAATCTTTTTTTTTAAAAATATAAAATGTTAATAACTTTTAACAAAAGTGATAATATACTTTTGATGTATAAAAAAGTTGTCAAAATCATTGAAAACCAGTACAATATTATTAAAGTATTATTAGAAGTATCTTTCATAAAAAAAAAACAATATATACATCAAATGATATTATATTATCAAAAAAAAATAATTAGATCACCCTATTTGGTACCTACACGAAACCATGTTATGTGTGTTCATACTACAGGTATAGCTTTAAAGGATGTCCAAATGTTAAACCTGACTATTTGGGTTTATGTATTAAGTGCTAGTGCCTGGGCTACAAAGCAAAAAATTGCACAAATTTAAGATAAGAGTTTCTATTTTAGGAGAGTTATATTCTTCTTACAGAAATTTTAAAAATGTGAATAATTATGAAAACTAAAGTGGATGAGTAGGTCTTTTTTATTAAAAAAATTTTATAAAGATTAGGGCAGATGGGTAGAGTTGTTTTAAAAAAAATTTTTAGTTTTTTTTTAAAAAAAAATTTTTATGAAAACTAGAGCGGGCAAGTAGGTTTTTTTTTTTAAAAAAAAATATATATATATGTGTATGTTCTAAGTAATATAGTTTACCAAGCAGTATATTCATTTAGAATAATACAAGAGTTTATAGGTGTACCAGGTAGTAAATAAACTCTTGATTTTTAATTTTTATTTTAATAAAATATACAAATTAAAATAAACGTATTAAAAAAAGCATCTATATATGTATAATTAATATTACATTATAGTAGGTATATCATTTCTATATTTAGAAATCCCAAGGTTTTTATTTTATTTTTTTTTTTAAGTGATCCTGCCTTTATTCATGTGAGCTGTTATATAATTTATGTACAATTTATACTAAATCCTTACAACCTATAACTCTATTTCAATAAAGACTCACTAGAGATAATACCCAGTGTGACCTGCTATAACAACTGTTTACCTCCCTCAGGATCTCTAACTTTCTAAAGATTTCATACTATTAACTAGTACACCCCTTGGTCATAAGTAGGCCATTGTATGTCTTGTCAGGATCACCCAACCTTCAAAATCTTCTTTCACCAAAGTCTAGGTAGAATATCTATCTTCTATTTTTCTATAAGTGAGGACTATATATACTACTTTTACCAAAGAACGACTACATCTAGAAGAAATAAAAGAAACTAAAACAACTTAAACACTATCCTAAATATGTTTCTATCATAAATAAACAAAGATAAAAAAAAACAAGAAAGTCAGATAACCCTGACAAGAAAAAACTACACACTAAAAACACTAGTATAACCTGTGCCAGGTAGATAAAAATTATATGACAATAGCAATATTGCATATCTCTACTATAAAGCTTTGCCTTAACCTTTATGATTTTCTTTTCAAACTACATTAATAACAGAAGTTTTGGTCGAACCTTCTAATCCATATCTCAAGCCAGGTGCTGCCACTATCTGAGGACCTGTATCTCAACCACCTGCTGCTACTATTAAAAGTATCTCAATTGTTAGCTCCAAATTAAACTAGTAGCGCCATATCCGAATTAGGCTGAACACGTAGTTGCTATCTACTATATCAACCAGAAAAGGAAACTAGTAAACAATATCGATCTTTAGATGGGGGTAAGCTGTTTTGGCCACTTTTCTTCGAAAACATTGTTGCCAGGACAAGCAGGCAAGTATAAAGAAAAATTTTCTAGAGTAAAGAGTAACTAAACAAGTAGTAGTTACTTGTCATGAACTGTTTTTCCCAAATGAACTCTTCTTTTTAGTGAGTGATAAACTCTGGGCCTGTCGGCAATAGCATATAAGAACTACTTCTAAATGACAGGTGCCATCCTAGCAGTGAGTGATAAACTCTAAACCTGTTGGCAGGTAGCATATGAGAACTACGTCTAAATGACAGATGCTAACTTATAGCTTTGTTCTAACTTTAGGCGCTTCCTATGATCTCTTTATTGTGTTTTGAGTTCAAAAAATTTTCTGAGAAATTTTGGTACGAGTTATCAATAAGAAGAGTTGTCATTGTTGATATAGTTTGCTAAAATTCCAAGGTTTTTATATTGCATCTACTATATATACATATATATATTATCAATTATACTTGGTTTTCACAATAATCAGTAATAGCAATATAGCTTTTTTTATATAAACTATTTATAATCACTGGTGATTATCACTAGTGTTACTATATCTCAAAGAGATTTGCTATTTATTACTACTAGTAATTGCTATATCTCAAAAACATACTAAGTAAACAGAATCAGATATTTTAAGTAAAAATATTCAAACTTCTAAAAACCTTACGAAAACTAAAATTAAAACCTTATATTAGCTCTATATTATATTATATAAAAAAAATATAATTCTCTAATTTCTAACCCTAACTCTACCAAATCTTAGTAATGATTATCACTAGTAACATGTAGTAATTTTCTATTTCAAAAATCTACTAAGTAAACAGAATTGGATATTCTAAGTAAAAATAGTCAGAACCCTTGAAAATCTTACAAAAACTAAAATTAAGACCTTATATTTAATCTATATTATATTATATATAAAAAAAATCTTAAAAATACATCCTAACTCTAAAATTATACTAGTAATTCCTAGTAGTAATATAAATTAATTTTCTATTAATTAATAATAAATAATAATAAAATTACTTTATATTACCACTAGTGATTATTATCAGTAAAGTTTTTAAAGTTAGGGTACATTTT